TCGTTGCTGACTGAACTTGCTGTTCTATTCAATACTATTTGGAACACTGGAAAGTTATTTTCATACTGGCGACCGTGCACCATTGTCTCTGTATTCACAAGGCGTCAAAGAGCTTCCTGTGAAAGTCACCCAGGCTTTGGCCTTATTTCTAATATCTAAGCTTCTTACTTGTGTCATTCTACGAGTCACTGGTCCCCATAAGAGCCGAATCATTAGAAGCCAGACCTGCCTCCGCTTTGGTCATGTTTCTTTGCACCTTCAAAGTGCAAACTCGTATGACAGGGCTGAGCCGATACGCCACTGGTTCTTGCTGTCAGGCAACAGCCACCGGAATTGGTCGGTGGTTCGCTTACCTCGTTAGCTGTGTCGCCTCCAGTGGTCACATCACTGAGGAGGTAACTTCGCATACCTGCAAAACCCGTGAGCTTAACCATTCATGGGGACGGCAGGATATCAGCCTCTCAATCAACTGTAAGATGCATAACATTGCGCCAACGCCAATGTTACTGCAAGGATCAGATATCTGACCACTTCTTGCTGATGACGTTGTGAGATTGACCGTCATTGATCACCGGCGCTTGCGGCCTATTACTCACATCTGGTATGAAAACCGGATGAAGTCCTCCAGGTGGTTTTTAGCAAGATGCCCACTGGTGCCTCACCTGAAGTTTTGCTGTATTTTAATCGCTTACGTTGGCTAGGTCAGTCGGCCGGTGGCCGAATGATCTGCACGCCTGGCTTGCAATCATAAGGTCACCGGTTCTAATCCGCGTAGGAACGAGCGTCCACGCGCGACTGGTGGTAGTCGCGTGGCAGTGAAGCGCCGTTACGGCGTACAGGTCACGACTACTTGGCTCGGCCATGTTCTCCGTATGCCCGTTGACCGGCTTCCTCGATATGCATTAGAAACCGTCACGCATCTGATGAGGCGATATTGCGAGATCACGTGGTATAGGTGCATGAAGAAATTGATCGAAAGAATTTCTCAGACTGGTACTGACCTTCGTGAATGAGGACCTCTGGATATCCCTCATAAGTGGTTTGAAGCTCTACTGGATATAGTGCAGTCACGCGGTCAATGGCACTCTGATATTCGGTTTTTTTTGCATCTAATTGTTAAGATTCCATCCCAATTGATGATACAATTCCTAGCTGTTTTTTCTTTGTATCACTGGGTTACAGTTTACCTGAACCAGGTCCAATTTATATTGCACGAGCGAACATCTTGAAGAACGTCCTCCAAAACTATGACATTGCATCGATAAATTATGTGCACTGCTGAATTTCGTGCTTACGGGACAACTTTTTTTTACTGAATCACCCATGTTTGGAACTAAATTGTCATATTTTTCGTAAACTAGGTGATGACAGTGTGCTCATTCCAAATTGTAATGCAGATTTCTGCTCATTTGTCATGTAGCTCCATGCTGTCATTTTCACTAAACTTCCACAACTGGAAACGTATCCCGCCCTTCGGGACATATACCTATTATTTATTTATTTATTTGTGAACATCTCAAGACGCTTCTCACCCTTGCTGGCGTCCTAATCTCACGAAGCGCTTGTTGCCCCTCTTGGTGAATAACGTCCCGTACCACTTGAGCAATCGATTTGTCGGCTCCCTCTAGTTTCCGTCATTCATTCACTCGATTTTTTATTATGTACTGCTTGAACATATCGTTACCCAACAGTCCAAATAGTTCCCCCAACAACTTAAGTGCCACTTAATCCATTGAGAGAGCTCCCCTTGATGAAGCATGCGGTTCACCTTTCACATCACCGGACCCGGGTGTTTGATGAAACATCACCTTGATCTCTCTAACGGATCCGGGTGGCTACTCTCTCAGGACGTGCACCACTGGACTACGGTATGGTGATCCTGAACAGTTCGCAGCAGCGTACTGGCTATTGATCCCACTAGTTTCATTAACTATCCTTTGTGCGTTTACTAATGACGGTACTAATAACAGTGCTACTAATACTAATAGATATGCTCCCAACGAAGCGAGATAGATCAGATGTACAGTCGATTCCGGTTAATAAGACCACCGGTTAATAGGACCAGCCGCTTATTCGGGCCAAATTCTGAAGAACCGAAACGAATCCTATTACGCTAGCCTAATTTTAGTCGCTTATTAGGACCGGAATTCCGCTTAATCGGACCAGACGATATAAGGTTGCAGGTAACAGAGGTGTTAAAATCAAGTGCTGTGCCTGGATGTCTGGACTAAACCCACAGTTCATATGTCGGGCAAGAAAGCGTATCATTCAGTTACGGTAATCCGAGTTGGCCTTTGGATAAACTGAACTGTGACAATCTTGAGGCACATCTATCTAATTGGCTTCAGAACCGCCCGAAACTGACTGTAGTTTCCAACACTTGTAGGCGGAGCGAAGACATACATGCTTGTTCACATGTCGTTAACCGCTCGATCGATGTACCGCACGTCCATTGAGCCGAATGCCCTGAGCCCGCATTGCGGGCCTACTCTAGAGCACGGCAAGTGATCGCAGACACAGGTCCGGCAAATCATAGGACAGCAGCTGGCTAGGTCAATCATAGAAATACCCGGGAGACAGACTCGAGTTCACCTCAGTGAACTGTGCGTGTCTTGTTGCATGTTAAGAAAATGCCACGACGGAACTTGACGTTAGCTGAGAAGCTTCGTTTCCTAGATCAGATCAAGGAACAGGGACCAACCACTAGTCAGCATCGATTGGTGGAAATTACCTGCTTGGCAAAATCTACAATATCGCGCCTGATAAAACAAGAGAAAGATCTGCGAGAAGAATGGGCACAATGTGAAGGACGATGAGGTACTTCCCAAAAACGGAAGCCTGAAGGCAAGGATCCAGACGTCCATGAGGCCCTTAATGATTGGTTTGCCTTTGTTACTGGACGAGCCGTGCGAGTAAGTGGCCCAATGTTAAAGTACAAAGCAGAAGAACTCGCTAAAATGCTGAGCCACGAAGCTTTTATAGCTACGGACGGCTGGTTGTCTCGATGGAAATCTAGACCTGATGTAAAATTTAAGAAAGCACATGGTGAGAAAGTAAGTGCCAATAGCGCTCGAGCTGAAGAATGGAAATCAACAAAACTACCAGAGCTACTTGAAAAATTTCCAGCAGTTGACATCTATAATGCTGATGAAACCGGGTTGTACTATAGGGCTACACCGGACGGCTCCTTAAGTTACCAACATGTTACTCTCTCTGGCTGTAAAAAAGCAACGGATCGCGTAACTGTCATGTGCTGCTCAAACATGTCCGGAACAGACAAGAGGGAATTGCTGGTTATAGGAAAATGTGCCAGGCCTCGCTGCTTTAAGGGACTCAGAATGAGCAGTTTACCAGTTGTGTATCGTGCGAACAGAAATGCATGGATGAGCTCTACACTTTTTAAAGAATGGGTGAAGGATTGGGACACAGAGCTACAACGCCAGTCGAGAAAAATGTTATTACTTCTCGACAATTGTGTAGCACATTCAAATTTGGATTTCTTGAAGAATATCCAGATGGAATTTCTGCCTCCCAAGACCACATCTTTGATACAGGCAATGGACATGGGCATCATAAAAAATTTGAAGACCTTTTATCGTTCAAGGTTGGTGAATTACATCCTTGAATCAATTGAGGAAGGATTGCTAACCTCATCCTCGACGGCCGGAGAAATCAGCGCAAAGGTCAACATTTTGCAAGCCGTTACATTCGTGGCCGAGAGTTGGCGAAAAATGAGCAGTGCGACAATTCGGAACTGTTTGTCTCACTGTGGCTTTAAGCATATTGTCTCGGAGATGGATGTGGATATGGTGATTGTAAATGAAAATGACGGCGAGAATGTGGAGCTGAAACAAGTTGAAAATTACGAAGAATTTTTGTCAATCGACAACGAACTTCAACTCTATGATGGAAATGAAGAATGCGATGCTGCCATTGTTGCTCGAATAGCAGCGAAACACACGACAGCAACAGAAGACCATTGAAGTGATGAAGAGAACCCTAACGTGTTGAGGCCAGTCACAAAACAGGATGCAAGGAATTGCATTGAAACATTGCACCGCTATTTCATGCAGGAAGGAAATGAAGTTAGTCCTATTACTGCGTTACATGTTTGTGGTGATTTTGTGCGAATGCAGTCTGTTAAAAGAATGCGTCAAACCACACTGGATACGGTCTTCAAACGCTGAATGGAATTCGGTAATCCCTTTGTATAAAACTGTACTTCGCATGCTGAATATCTTGTAGGTCGTTACGAAGAATTTGTTTGTAAATTTCTTTTTCAGTGAACAAAGTTCGTTATCAAAGCAGTTCTTTTTTGTGTTTTTGCTATAAATATATGCCGCCAATACAGGTCATAATAGTAGTTTCCTATGTTATGTATAGCACGTCCCGTCTTGTTACATCGGGTAACTTCGGTTAATCGGACCAGCCGCTTAATAGGACCAAAATGGTCTGGTCCCGATGTGGTCCGATTAACCGGAATCGACTATATTTCTTTCTCCATTGATTATTTCACCATTAGTTTCGTTCTGAGAAGGTTTTGGATCCCAGAAGCGTTGAGCGTTGTGAAGGCGGAGTATACATTGATGGAAAGTGCTAATGATTATTCTACTAATACTCAAAGCACAATCTTTTTAATATCTGTGCGAAAGCGGATGAGCGTGGGAAACGAAACACAATTACATGATGTAGGACTCGTTTGGAAACAATCCATGTTGTGAACGATTCAAGTCCGTCGAAAGTAACGACATGTTTTACCCAGGTGGCGGGATACTCTTTAGGAGGGATAATGAAATGGGTACGTGAATTCGATCTATTAGTGAAGGTACATCGAAGATTCCATCTACCAATATATTCACTTCATACACACACACACATGCGTCTTATCTAACTGACTGCATGCAATTAAGTCATAGGGGCGAGTTAGAGATGAGCTTCACCTATCTAACTCAACGATGCATGCATTAGCTTCCTTGTTTTAATTATTCACTTGTCATCAGGTTGTGGGGGTTAGCAAACTGAAGGAATCTACTCCGGCCGATCTCGGCGTCCTCCGTGGCTCTGCCCTGTTTCAGTTGACAACTGTTGTACCGCCCGCTCTCCCTTCGCCCTCTGAAGCAGACACTTGCAAACAGCGAACGTTTTCCACTCAAGAGGACGTCACTTTATCGGACCATCATCAAACTGTCGATCAACTCCATCTCGACACGCATAACGATGCTGCGGGCATGCGTGGGTTTTTCGAAAACTTACAATTCAACAAAAGTGAGTCGGACCGGTTCGAATTTCTTCACCTATGCATTTTCTTCAGTAGCTTAGTTTAATAAACGTACAAAGGCTGCTGCATCAAACTACTAAACAAATACGGACTTAAGCAACTTGAAAATTCCAATTTAGAGTTAAGAAACACGAGACTATAGCGCGTAGATCGTGCGCTATATATCCGGTACGCGACTAGACGACCAACCAAAAGTAGTGGGTAGAAGACACAAAAGTAAGCTATGGGAGAAGTTTATTGGACGGGAGGAGCGTTAGCTAATGCTAAAAATAGGGCACCCGGAGAGAGCTAGCTAGGGAGAATGTCGTTGGCGTCGAGAGCGTAGACGGAGCGTCGTACGCACTCGAGCCGCGCGCCAAAGGCGGAGATCGTTTCCGTGTTTCCAACAAACGGGAACAACATTCTAACAGGCAAACCGAATGGTTCCCTAATACATAAGAAAGCTATACTTTGAATATTTTAGAATAGTTTACACAGTCATACGGGGGCATCTCCAGGTCGCTACACAGCCCCCCTCTAGAGGGGAAACCGTGGATGACCCTTCGATCTACGTGAGGACTGTCCGTCTCGGGCCAGCCTTCTGCGAGACCAGGTAGTGAAACCTGATGCAGCTGCTGGGGGAGAACCAGGCGATCGGACCCTAGCGGGCTCCCACCCGTGTCCTCCTGCCAAAACACAAAATGGGGGAAGTACGTAAGCGTTAAATGTTCGCGAGTTCATGAAGGTCAAATGTTCGCTTCAGGCTCGTCATCTCCTTCGGTTCATACATAGAAGATAAACGGAAACAAGAGCAGTGACGGTGGGAGCGAGGGCAAAAGCAAGAGTGACACTTACCGGATGAGGTAGGCGTCAGGCAAAACGCAGCACTTTTTGTGTTTTCAAAACGTTTTGTTATTTTTTGGGTTTTCAAAACATTTTGCGTTCTTTTTGAGTTTTCAAAAGCTTTGGGGGGTCCCGTACGTTGTTGGCCAAAAGGAAAAGAAAAGCAATAAGAAAAACGAAAGGAATGCTAATCCCTTAATCGAGCTGGCCAATGTACGCGTCTACCCGACCTAGTCGACTTGTTCGAATCAGAGGGAGGCGTCGTCTTAGACGTCCTACCGGATCGCAAAATTGGAGGAACTGCTGAAGACGTGGCAGTTGGTTCGATGGGAAACGGCGGAGCTGAAGTGGAAGGCTTGGATGGATCGTGATATTTGGGGTCAGGGATGTTGGTAGCAGTCGAGTCTTCCATCATAGGCTGCGTTGATTCGTCGGAAGACGAGTAAGGGTCTTCGTCGAGCTCAGGTTCCACGTGGGCAACCTTGAGACGGTCAATCGTAACGGCTTCACGTTTACCGTGACGGTCTATTATAAAGACGCGGTCCTTACGCTGTAGAACCTTGAAAGGACCTTCGTAAGGTCGCTCCAGTGGTCTGCGGAGACCATCAAGGCGAAGAAAAACGAACGGACAACGCTGTAGGTCTTGCGGAACAAAAGACTTACGTCGTTGTTCTCTAACGTCGGGAAGCTTGTAGTGACGCATGCTCGTGGCTAGCTGACGTGCATAATTCGCGTCGTAACGGGGAATTCTGGGACTATCGGAGAAGAAATCGCCAGGTAAACGCAGTGGTTGTCCATATACTAACTCGGCGCTAGACGTACGTAGATCGGCCTTTAGATCGGATCCCAAGGAGGATCATAGGCAGCACCTCAGTCCAACTCAGTGCATTGGTGGCGCTAAGTAAGGCTTTCAACTGTCGGTGGAAACGTTCCACCATGCCATTCGCTTGCGGATGATAGGCGGTCGTGCGAATGCGTCGACATCCAATGAGTTTAAGGAGATCGTTAAAGGTCGTAGATTGGAATTGCGGACCGCGGTCTGTAGTCACTGTGGCTGGACAGCCGTGTGAAGCGACCCAGCACTCGACAAAAGCGCGTGTTACGGTTTCCGCAGCTACGTCAGGGATGGGAACGGCTTCGGGCCAACGGGTGCAACGATCGATCATGGTCAAAATATAGACCATTCCTTTGGACGGGGCCAGAGGTCCCACTATGTCGAGATGGACATGGGCAAATTGCGCTGAAACGGACGGGAAGCGACCAAGCGGAGCGGACACGTGCCGCTGAACCTTGGCTTGCTGGCAGGTGAGACAGCTGCGTGCCCAGCGCGTAAGATCGCGTTGCATCCCCGGCCAAACGTATCTCTCAGAGACAAGCTTAGCAGTAGCTTTAACGCCTGGGTGGGCGATATTGTGGAGGGTGTCAAAAACGATACGGCGAAAAGTTTCTGGAACGACGGGTCGAGGTCGTCCGGTAGATGTGTCGCATAAAATGGTACCATCTGATGACGGCAAAGGGTGCGGGGATATTTTCAAAGAAGAATCGCGAAGTTCCGAAAAGGTTTGGTCGTTTGATTGTGCGGCGGCCATAGCAGACAAATCGATTGCCTGCCCGGCAGGGTCAATCGCAGATACTCTTGAAAGAGCATCAGCGACGACGTTTTGTTGACCGGAAATGTGTCGGATATCAGTCGAGAATTGGGCGATGAAATCCAGCTGACGAATCTCACGTGGTGAGTGTCGAGCTGATTGATTTCGGAATGCGTAGGTAAGCGGCTTGTGATCGGTGAAGATAATGAGGGTGTTACCTTCGAGGACGTGTCGGAAATGTCCAACTGTGGAGTAAACGGCCAGCAGTTCGCGACTGAACGTGCTGTACTTGACTTCGGCGGGTTGTAGGCGTCTAGAGTAGAATGCAAGAGGTTTCCAGCCTCCATTTGTATGTTGCTGTAGGACGGCACCAATGGCAGTGTCCGATGCGTCGACAGCAACACTAAGCGGAGCCTTCGGATAGAAGTGACGGAGCATAACGGCTTTAGCTAAGGCTTCTTTGCTGGCCTTGAACGCTTCTGCAGCAGCAGCAGTCAATTCCACCTGGCCGTTTTTACGTCCACGAAGTAGGTCGGTTAGTGGACTTAGCAAATTCGCACAGTGTGGAAGAAAACGTCGATAGTAGTTGAGCATGCCGTTAAAACGGCGAATAGCGGCTAACGTAGTCGGAACCGGAAAGTCTCTGATGGCGCGGACTCTATTGTCTACAGGCCGTATACCATACTGATCAATATGGTGGCCAAGGAATTCGATGGAAGGCTGCTGAAATATGCATTTGTCAGGGTTGACAGTGATGCTATTAGCGGCCAGCCTATCAAAAAGTATTTTGAGATGTTCTGCGTGCTGTTCTTTAGACGCGCTGGCAACTAGGATATCGTCGATGTATGCGTAAACGAAATTTAGACCTCTAGTGACTGAATCGATGAGTCGTTGCAAAGTCTGGGCTGCGTTGCGCAGACCGAACGGCATACGCAAAAATTCGAACAGCCCGAACGGCGTGATTACAGCAGTCTTCGGGATGTCTTCTTCAGCGACTGGAATCTGGTGATACGCGCAAACCAGATCGTTTTTCGAGAACACACGGGTGCCGCGCAGGCTTGCCGTGATGTCCTGAATGTGAGGAATCGGATATCGGTCGGGAACAGTAACGTTATTGAGCGCGCGGTAATCACCACATGAACGCCAGTCTCCTGACTTTTTGGGCATCATGTGGAGCGGCGACGCCCAGGGACTTTTAGACGGGCGAATGATGCCTAGTTCAAGCATGTGCTCGAATTCTGCGCGAGCAATTTTCAACTTGTCAGGGGTCATTCGCCTGGCTTTGGCAAAAACAGGCGGACCTTTCGTAACGATGTGATGTTTCGCAGCATCAGTGGCGGATGAAAACGGTGCCATTGCACGAAAGACTTGCGAGAACTTGGTATTAAGCATCTGACCGATAGGCGAGTTTGACAGGTTGGCGTATACAGGACTGATTGACTCTATGTCGGTCAAAGTACCTATAACTGCCAGGTTTGTTTGACGATCGATCAGACGGCGTTGCTTCGCGTCAACAAGTAAATCGAAATGCTGCAGAAAGTCAAGGCCAAGAATTGGCGTCTGGACATCTGCGACGAGAAAGATCCATTTAAATGAACGTCGTAGGTTTAGATTAAGCGTGCGCGAGCGCTGACCATACACGCGAATGGTGGTGCCGTTTGCTGCGCGCAATGAACCGGTCGCCTCTTCGCTATCATTAGAATCACGTGGGACAACGCTGACTTCTGCGCCGGTGTCAACGAGATAGCGTACTCCCGTACTGCGATCGGTGACAAAGAAAAGGCGACTGGGGCAGCCAGCAACGTCCGTCGCCCCTACGTGCTGGCCTACCCGTTTCCCTGCATGTTGCGCTTGAAGGAACAAGGTGGGCGACACGATCTGGCCTGATGACCAAATCGCTCGTGGTACCAGCAATAGCTTGACCTAGGGGGAGATTTCGAATGTGATCTAGGAGGACTGCGACTACTGGAACGATTTCGGCGGTTGGATCCGGATTGTGTTAGCTTCTCTAGTCGATTGGTCAATGCGGCTACTTGCGCTTTTAGTTCTGCTACCTCTGTACTGGAGGTAGACTGAACCTGAGATATTTGGGCGTTGGATTCCCAAATACGGTCGGCAATATCGGCGAGTTGAGGAAGAGGCGCATCGTTTGCATACAAGGGATTGCGCATGTCACGTGGCAGGCAACGAAGCCACATCTCTTTAAGGAAAGAGTCGCCAACAGCGAGAGGCTTAGCTAGAGCTTGCATCTTGTGCAGCAACTGCGAAGGCTTTCGATCCCCTAGCTTGGTTTCGTTAAGAAGCTGCGTGACGCGAGCATGGTCTGATATGCCAAATCGCTTTAAGACGACGGCCTTAAGCTCATCGTAACTTTTCTGATGTTCCGGAAGTTCCAAGATGTCGTCGAGGTCATCGAGGACTTGCGGGGGAAGCGCGGCGACAACGCAGTGAAATTTGACGCTGTCAGAGTTAACGCCATGTAACGAAAAAATGGACTCTAGCTGGTTAAACCAGGCCTTAGGGTTAGTATCACGGAAAGGCGGGATAGGAAAACGGAACGCACTAACCTGATCGTC